GAGTGACCTTCGAGGTTATCTTATTTGTCTTTACAAGAAAACCAGATGGGGAGGAAGTAGAACACAAGTGACCTTCGGGGTTATCTTGTCTGTCTTTACAAGAAAACCAGATGGGGAGGAAGTAGAAAACAATGTATATAGTGGTATGAAACTTCTCTCAGAAACTGGATAATACCGGTCCTGTGGTTTGAGCAAGGGCCAAGAAGTAACTGAGTCTGCGCAAGAAGGAAAGGTTACTAGCGGTGACGAAGAGGAGATACCACCCTTCCTCGTCACGACCACTGACAGGGGACACTGCGCTTGAAACTTAATGAATATGTATTAGTTAAAGAAATATAAACCCGGAAAGGGAACTGTACTGTGTGCGTGTTGGTGAAGTGAAGACTTCCCACGTACCCAGCGCTGTTTGGTTGTCTTTACTTGTTTAATAAATTGTAAACCTTAATTGGAATCCTGTTGTGAGGCTAAATCATTTATCACATGATGATTGGTGATCAACTACTGCTGCTGACAGCTGAACCTTTGGGGGGAAAAAAAAAAGCCAAAACAAAACAAATGACTGAAAAACGCTCCCAAATTAATAGTGGCAAGACTCTTGATAAAATAATAAAATCACCACAACTAATTCAGCGATCAACCTATAATGGCCGTGTCCTGCATAGCATTCACTGCAAGAATTATTAACTCTGAAATTAGACACTGTGTGACTACCCCTGGAAAAACATAAGGTATAGAGTCTGTACATCTCACAGCAGGAGCACCTGCGTTTGGAGGCGCATAAGGGTTTTGGAGATGTGGCATTTGGCTGCAATGCAGAGAATCACAGCCTGAAGTGAAAACGTGAAATCTAGATAAACTGCTGAAAAACCGAGCAGACCTCAGACCCATGACACCTTCAGGCACTTGACCCTGGAGATTGCTACCGCGCAGCCCACCCCTCGCTGGTGGCACTTGCAGCCATCTCGCTCCCAGCTGCGCAGCCACCATCTTGCCATGCCTCTCGTGGAGGCAGCCATCTTGCGTGCCGTACACCTGGCGGCAGCCATGACGGTGAGAGAGAGAAGACAAGGGCGCAGCCATCTTGGAGCCGCCCACCTGTCTGACTCAGGCGTGCGGCCATCTTGTAAAAGGCCATTACAGCGCAAGGCAGCAGCATCTCTGCGCCTTCCTCCCTTAAACAAGATGGCGGCAGCGCATGCGCAGAGCCAGGAGGTG